ATAGTAGTGGTGTTTAAAATAGCTTTAATTGTCGGAACAAATAATTTGTTTTTTAAAAAAAAATTTTTCATTTTTATAAAAATAGATCACCAATAAAATTATAAAACTGCGGTTAAACTTGGGTTTGAACTGCGGTTCAGATCGCGGTGGCAAACCGCCGGTCGGTGCGGCTCACTAGCCAAACTGGCAGTTTATAAACCGAATCGAACCGTTCCCATCCCTACATTAGACCTTTATTTAGTAGAAATTAATGAAAATTATCCCAAGTACAAAGTGGGAGGATTATCCCAGATTGGGAGAATAATCCTAACTTGAGAGAATAATCCCAAACTGGGAGAAACATCCCAAATTGGGACACTAATTATTCAACATGTATATAAGGAATGAGAATTCACTGCAATCAAAGAATAACTTTGTAACAAATTAACTTAATAATAAGTTAATACAGTTCACTCTCTCTATAACGGCCCACCTGATTTGGCAAAAAAAGGCCGTTATAGAGAGTTTGCAGATCATAGTCATGTGATAAATTATAATGCGATACAATATATTTTGGGAGTTGTTATTCGCACCCCTCCCGTGACTAAGTGTATTAATGTGACCAATGAATGGCTTTAAATGTGATGATTTTATTGGTTCATCTTTGTCTTAGTCACGGGAGGGGTACGAATAACAAAAATGGGAGGTGCGAATAACAATTCTCTTTTTTTATTATTTAATTAAAAAATTTTACTTACTGTATTTGTTTAAAATTAAATTCATTATTTTCGTTAACAAAATATCTCGATCTCCAATCGATCCCTTCTATTTCTCTAAGCTTAGCCTCATTGCGTTGATTATCTTCAATCAATGTTTTTTCATCTGTAGCAAGATCCAAATTTCTCCCTATCAAAGCACTTGTAACTTTTGACCATAACCTAGAATAAACAATTTCATTAATGAATCATAATCTGGAACCAGGAAGGAGGATGAATATATTGATTTAATGAATATCAAATTATTATTCATCCATACCTTCTAGATTCATTTTCTTCTTGTTCTTCTTCTTGTGCAACAATCTTAGGGTGTATCTTTGAATCATGTACATTGAACAAAACCTCCTTACTTCCTGTCTATTTAAAATTCATAGTAATCATAATCAATTACATGATGATGACAATAAATTTCATTTACTATTTATTTTATTTTATTTTTTAAGTGCATACCTGGATATCTTTGATATATATGATTTCTGACCATTTTCCTGTAATTTCATAAAGAACCTCACCCGTTGATTCGCGTTTTATCTTTCCATAAATTGAATTATATGCACCACTAAAAAACCCCTAAAATAAAATAAAACTTGTTTAAATTTTTACATATTTGCATCTAAATTATTAATATTTCTTCAAAACTTACTTTTGTTCGAAATTCCAATTCACATGTTAAATCATTTTTTCCGCATTTAACAGTAGAATTATCGCCTAATTCCATTACCATTCTTCCGAAAAGAATCCCTCGTGCATAAACATTTGGCATTGAAATTCGATAAACTTCTCCAGAACGGTTTGTAAAATATATTTTAGATTCACCTTGCATCAAAGTTGCTGCACTGTTTCCTAAAAATTTAGATTTTGGTCTTATATCTCCTGAAATGATCAAATTATTTTCCGGACTTGCATAATAATAAGCGGAAATGGGTGGGTGATGAGAAACTTGTTCAGATACAAAAAAAGCTTCTGTTTTGTCAGGAAATACCCATTTTGCGCGAAAATGTTCACCCAAAACAGGATTATATGGTTTTTTGACACCCTTAAAAAATTTAAATAAAAAAAACCGTTAAATCAAATAAAAAAAATTTTTTTTTGGAAATTAGAAATGTACCTTTGGTTTTATATGCCATCCTGATAAATAATATCTTACAACGCTTACAAATCGGATTACTGGATCTTCTTGTTTTGCGACACTTGGTAGGAGGTACAACAAATAAAAGTTTATTTGACAATAATATTAATAATTATTATTATTATAATAGTATAAACAAATTGAATAATTGAACAATACATATATAAATAAAACAATTGATCTAATCTAAACGACCTTTATAACTAAGATTTATTTATTAGCTGTTGATCTACAACAAGAACAAATTTCTTCTTGAATATTTAATCAAAACTACCTTAAAATGAGCTCAGGGTGACTCATAAAATCCGTAATTCTTTCTAACATACTTCTCGGTTCTAAAACAAAGGTTGGCAAAGTAACTCGATGTAAATCCATCCCTTTTCGTAATTGAGAGATGAGCCCTAATAAAATACTGCGAGGTTCTTCGTCGAGAACCTCTGTATCATTTGGATCTTCGTCTCCCATTTTATTTGTTTATATATATCTATATGTATCGTTTATTTGGAATTTAATAAAAAAAATTTAAATTTTTTTTCAAGTAAATCAATTTCTAATTTATTTTACCCTTTGTTTGTTTTCTTGTGTTCAGTGTATGATGCAAATCTATTTTTTCATTGTTGATCAAATTTTTTGGCCAAAATTTAAATATGACGCAACAATCAGAACAATATGAAGTCAGCGAAGAAGAATGGAGTGTTTATAATATAATACAAGGACGTGGTACTGTATGTGTATTGCTGACAATTTTTGATTCCGTACTCTGATCGCAAAATGAAAAGTATTTCTAACGAAATAATTGATAAATACCCCACACTAGGGATTTATAGATGATATTAAAATTTCTGAATTGGTTAATAAGTCACTGCTGGGGGTCAGTTGGGGCAATTTAAAAGAAATATTAAATAATTTATATGCATTTGTAGGTTTAATGTTGTTATTGATGATATTTAATGATATTAAACAATTTTAATATTAACTGATATTATTATTATGTTTAGGGATTATTAAGAAAAAAACAAACTAATGATGATAGATGTTTATATCAAGCTCGACCTAAAGAAATTTATAGCAAGTCAGTATCAAGAATATATTTTAATGCAACTCACATATATATATAATATTTATTTCTGTATATAATACTTTCTATATATCTTGATTGCTTTTAGATTACAATTTCTTGATAACCAAGGATATGAGATTTTCGAACTTATAGAAAATTCAGAGAGAAGAGGTAATGTATATTGGGAGAAAGTTTAATGGATCTTTAATTTCTAAATGATTGATATATATACTAGGTATAGCAAAATCAGAAATTCAAAAACAAACAAAAATAGTATCATCTATTATTGATGATTCATTAAAAATGATGCAAGAACAAAAATTGGTCAAAGAAGTTAAACCAAAGGTAAATGATATTTATTAATAAAGATGATTATTATCAATTATTATTATTAAATGAAATTTTTTTTAGAGTAAGAAATTATATATGTTATATGATATCAAACCAGTTGATGAATCACTTAGCAGATTATTATATACGAATGGTGAAGCAGACACAGTTGTAGTAGAGGCTTTGAAAACACTATGTTATAATTTAGTTCATCATAGGGTAAATAAACAAATAAAAATATATATTTATTATTATGGGTTTATTATTAATGAATCCAATAATTTTAGAGTTTTCCTAAAAGTTCAAATGATGAAGGTATATTCATTCCAGGTTATACTGGATATCCAACATTGGAAAAGATTTTGCAATGTGTACAAGACGCAAAAATTACAGATATTGAAGTTGAAGAGTCTGATATAAGACAAATTCTTGATCTGTTAGTGTATGAAGGCAAGATTGTAAAAAGAACTGTTCCTATCATCAGTTCAATGGTATCAGAAAGTTTAGATCATATAGAAATACAGAATAATAATAGTAACCATAGTAATAGTATTAGCAGTGGTAATAACATTAAGGCATCAACATCAATATCAGTACAAAGCACACAAATTGTTTTTGTTGCTAAAAAATCCAGATCTTTGGAAAATGCATGGACTCAAATACCATGTGGCAGATGTCCAGTAAGTGTCACCATAGTATTCATTTATTTATCATTTATTAATGATTGATTTATCATCTTAATATTCTATTAAAATAGTTTTTTAAGAATGAATGTTCAGAGGATGGAGAAATATCACCATCTAATTGTATATTTTATCAACAATGGTTGGCTAAAGGATTGAATACAATTAATGACAAAAACAAGAGAAAAGATGAAGATTGGTAAAATAAATTATAATTATAATTTTTAGTCATCATGTTGTGGCTATGTGATTTGTCATTAAAATTTTATCCAAGATTTTTTGTTACTACATTTCTGCTATATTAATATTTGCAAATCAAAATAGGACCTTGGATAATTATGTTTTAACTGGTATGTAAAGTAGCATATAAAATACTTTATACTCCACCTCTAAATTTAATGCAATTCATACCATTTTTATTATACCAGTGCACAAATCTAGTTTTTTATACCCTGTTTTTCATGAATATATAGTGATGTACTTTTAATTATGTTGCATTTTGCATGATTATTAAAAAACCTCATCTGGATACTTTTTGGAGGGTAGTGTAAGTGCTTTTTTATACAATTGGCAAATCAATGAATAATAAAGTAATACTTCACTTATTTTTATATTTTACAAATCATGCTACATAAATATTGCTTTTTACAGGATCTTGAGCTTAGGCAAATGAATGAATTAATGAAAGCCAACAAGTGAGTGGGTGGCATTCTCAATCTTCAACCATGAATTACCAATTTAACTTTATTGTTGGATAATTGTGAATTTAAAAAATTAATAATATATTGCACATTTATAAAATAATGGAAATAACTACTTGAATATCACCATTCCAAAAAATTGTTTGCTCATGTAAAGAGTTTTAGTTAATGTTGAAAGCTAGTAATGATTCATTCAAAGGTAGTCTCATTTCTATTTATTACCATATACATACATACACATACATACACAGTATATACAGTCAGGGAATATACCAAATATAGAAATCAATCCTAGATTTTTTTGTCAATCATCTCATATATGATACAAACAAGTTTAGAAACACTTCCCCATTATATCAGGTTTTTTTCTACAGTGCAAATCGTCTATACTCAAAATTATGAAAACCTAAATATCATGTGATCCACCTGTCAGATTTTTAATGAAAATATTACCATTCAACTCAGCTTTAAAAAAGGAATCAATTTATAACATAAAAAAATTTAGTCTCATTTTTTAGTTGAAGATCTTTCTTAATTTGGAAAATAATAAATTTAATTGACGATCCGCGAATAAATGAGTCATACATAGAGATCGGCGGAGGAAAATTGATACAAAAATGATTAATTGAATACCTTTGACAATTTGTTTTTTTGATAATGGCATATTTTAAATGATAAAAATAAAACGCGATGTTACACGAATTTACTTAGTCTCATTTTTGTAACCTTATATGTAAATTGGTATTACTTTAAACCTATATAACTTGGTTAATATTGAAGATAAAAAAAATTCTAGCCACTAACTTTGAAAGCTCTAGTGTTGCTTAGTAAAAATTAGTGGTTAGAATTTTTTTAAAATGCTTTTTTAATTTTTATTTTGAGTATAGATGATTTGCACTGTATAAAAATAAATTCTTTTGAATAAACACTTTAATAATCCTCTCTCATACCAAAGCCTTATATAACAACATAAAGAACCACCTTGACTCAAAACTTGCTTGAAATTAACTTAAAAATTCCTTTTTTTTTTTTAAATTATAAATTTTAATCTCTAGAAATGCAAAATGCCAGAACAGCCAACACCTTACAATGTTTATTTGATGAACTTTCTATTAAATATCCAGAAAGTCAGCTAACATCATGTAAAGTTGGGAGGCATGCATCAGGATTAGCAGCAAGGGAGCATGTGAATTATTTACTAAGTATTTTCCCGAACTATCTTTGTTATGTGATTCTTTAGAAAATTATTCAATTTGTGAAAAACACTACAATCAAATAATTGTTACTGATATTTTTCTTGAGAAATTAAAAAAAGCAGATAATTCTTCTGAAGAAAATTTACAACAAAAAAAATTAAGGCATACTTTATCTATACCCACAATAAATTCATCTTCTGAGGAAGAGGTCCACAAGTTCAACAATCAAGCTACTTTACCTAATGCAGAGATCACAAGGCTTACAGCAGAGTTATCAAATATGCATAAGAAATTATCAAGTACATGTGAGAAATTATTGAAAGCTCAAGATGAATTAAAACAATCAGAATCACAGAGGATATATTATGTTGGAATTATTGGGGAAAATGAACAAATAATTGGCAGAGTAGAAGAACAATAAATTAAAAGAAGAAATTAGAATTAAAAAAAAAATTAATTGCACCACTTGATGATCAGGAATCAATAATTAATTATATTATAATAATTGCCCAGAAGGAATGTAGAAATTTATATGATGATATATATAATTGATTTAATAATGATCAGGGGTGTTTTCAATTAGACTATATTCTAATATTCTACTTCTCAATGGCCCGCTTTACAAAATCCTGTTATTGTGAAATTTATAAAAACAATGAAAATGAAAATCTACATCACAAAGAAAAACTTTTTAAATGTGCAGTGGCAGTTGATGCAATTTATGGGGCAAGACACTTAAAATATGTTTCTTCTACAAATTTAGCAAGCATCAGCTATTAAGTATTCAATAGCTAAATCAAAAAAAATAATAGATATTGATAATCATATTTTGAGTTCTGGAAGTTTTTTTAAATTTTTAAAATGGCAGGAAACTTTAGCTTGTGAACCTGAATAAGGTTTCTGGTCCAAACTGTTTTCTCAAAGCCCAAACTATTTTGGACAATTTGAGCTTCTCAACATTTTTTATAAGCATGAACATTAAAAAACTATGAATCAACTTGTTTTAACTTAAACAACTTTAAAATAATTTTGCCCAATTTCGGCTAATAACAAAAAGTAGTTTGGGCTTATAAAAAAATAATTTTTGCCCAAAGTATTTAGGCAATTTTGGCTATTAATAGAAGCAGTTTTGGCCAGAAACCTTAAACCTGAACCAATTCCTAAAGGGTTAGTATTCATGGCATTTGATAATGAGCAAAAGGGACTGAAAAATTATTTAGATTGTGGTAATAATACAGTAATATTCCATACTGTTACAAGTTTTGTGGGATTTAATTTTGATCCAACTGAAAATATACAATTTGACAAAGATCCCTGGTTACATAAAACATTAAATTCATCACAAATCAAACAACTTTTTGATATTACACCAAATATGAAAAATTTATTTGATAATCAACTCTATGAGTTCCTTTCAAATATTTTAGATGAAGCAATTGTAGAAAAAAATAAAGAAAAAAACCACATTGATGAGTTAACAACTAGATATAATTCAAAGATATCTAAACAAAAACAGTGTAGTGAATGTGGAAAGAATGAAATAGAAAAGTTAAAGCATAAATGTCCACAATGTAATGCTAAATTACCTAGTCTTTCTGAGGCTCAACAAACAACTCAAGAAACTAATAATACAATATTCATGGATAATACAAATGAACCTTTAAACTTCAAAGCTATCCAATCTGAAAATAGGACTTTAGAAAAAGACACAAGGATGTTAAGTATAACTCAAAAATCTTTCTCAAGAAGGCATCACTAATCCTAACATGTTTATTCCAGATCCTATACCAATTAATCCAAACTCTATTTCCAATGTCTGTAAAGTTCTGAATCACATTCAGGAAATTAGTGGAATAAAAAAAGGTGATCATAAATGGTTGTAGTTGTTTTTGATGGAATACCATATCATTATGTTCAAAAAATGAAAGGTGATTACCCAGGGATTTTGTTATTACCAGGACCACTCCATGAGGAGATGAATATGTTAAAAGCTTTTGTTGAACTGAATTGGTATTTAATCTCATTAATTATTTCTATTATATATATATTCTTATATTATACTAATGTGTTTCTGGATTTAGGGATATTGATATAAAACAGTTTGCAAAATGTCAAGGATACCAGACAGAAAAGCGGCTAGGATATTTTAAAAAATATATTGATCATCATAAATCCTGGGATTCAATAATGAATATTTATAGACATGCGATGGCAATGGAGTTGGTGTGGCCTTATGTTTCAAACAACTTCAGATCCCACTGTGGATGAATATATTAATTGGGCAAACAATCAGGAAGATGAATTATATAAACTTAAATATGAACAAGTAAATTAATTTTTATTTTATTTAAAAACATTAATTATTTACAATTATAAAAAAATATTTCAAGATTTTTGTATACCTGCAAGCCATAATTAATTTCTGTACTGGGATTAAAACAAACCAACCCTTACTCAAAGCAGCTGCATGTCAAATCTTTGCTCCAATCTGGTCAGCTAGAAGGCATCCAATCTATAGGTCAATTGAAGTTGCTGATGAAGAACAATTAATGTGTCTTCATCCTGAAATTTGTAGATATGTTGAACAATTTTCAGTAGTATCATGATCAGGATGGAATAACCAACATCAGGGATTAGATGCAATTCTTGAAGAAGTGAATAAATCTCTTAAAACACTAATTCCACCAATACCAACTCAGAAACATTGGGAAATGTCAGCTAGGAATTGTATGAAATTTATGATGGTAAGTATAATATTGATATTAATTTTTATATACAGTATGTTTTTTTACAAACCTTTCTTTTGCTAAGCAGCTCCAAAAAAAATTATTTGAAATGATTGGATATAAAGATCAAGAAAGCAGTGGTTCTCATTCATGTCCAGATTTTCAAAGAGAGTCAGAATGTTTTAGAGTAGAATTGAGGGATGCTGGTTTTTTAAATCCATTTAGAAGTAATCCTGTCTTTGGAGTTTAGATAAAAGTTGTAGATTAAGTGAGGCAATGAAGTCTTTTAGTGTTACTGCTCAAGCTTATTGTATTGATTACATCAGAGAGAAATTAATTTCAAAAAGCAACCAGAAATTACTTGTCCCATTCCTGTCACTGCTGAAGAAGAAGAGAAACAATCAGAAGAAAGTTCAATGACAAATAGAGAATTAGTGTTAATCATTGAATCATTGATTGGAACCCTGAATGAGGTCAATTTGCCACAGTTTAAAGGATTAAAATCAAAAAAAAAAAGAATTGCTATTAATTCTGCAACAAGTCAGAGAACTTCATAATAGTGAGGAAGTATAAGTTGATG